TGGACTAATTCTCTTCTCATTATTATTCATGAAGGTCGTCTCTCTTTTGTGGGGTGGGGGCATGGAAGGAGAGGCTAATGAAAGCACTGGCGTACACTGTGTCCTTTGTGGCCAGAGAGAGCTCGCGGGCGGATGTGCTGCTTTTATCAGCACTTGTTTATTTAAAGCAGGAAAGCCAGGAGCCCTTGGCAAACTGAGCTCCACTTTACCGCACACACCAGAAAGCTCCTCTTGTTGGCACAGCAGGACATCCCCATGTGATAGTATAAGGACCCTTCACTCACCTCCAAGGTAGCTTGTTTCCACATGGTCCATGTTTTAACCCCCCTCCCCCTTCCCACCTGTCTGTGTCTCTCTCCAGGCCCCAGCATGTGGAAGGATCTGGCACAGGGCTGTGGGGGAGACAACCAGTCGCCTATTAACATTGACCGGCACAAAGTACAGAGGGACAGTAACTTAGGAGACTTCCATTTCGAGGGCTATGACCAGGCTCCACCGGCCATGTGGAAACTCTCGAATGATGGGCACACGGGTAGGTATTTGTTCCAGACTCCCTCTTTTCCTCCTTCCGTGGCTCCTCAAACCCTTTTCCACAGGAAGGGGCAGTACCACGGGCTAGGTTAGTGAGATTGATTCATCCCTAAGTTCCCTTCAGAATGATGCATTTCTTATTTTTACAGCAGTAGTGCATAGAAGCCCTATCATGGCCCACAACCACCCTGGGCAAGGTGTTAGACAGACATAGAACGTGATCCCTTCCCAGGGAAGCTCACAGTCTTGCATCTGTCTCTGTCATTAACCTGAAAATGGCCTTGAGATCACACCTTTACTGTACAGAAACAGTAAAGGTGTGATCTGGCAGAATGGGTTCTCTCTTGCGCACTCCTCCATGCACACACATTCGCTCCCAGCCAGCTCTGCTCCACCTGCTATGGGTACATGAAAAATCACCCTTGTCCTGGGTAGGATGTAAAATCCCATTTAATTGGTTAATGGGTTAACTGATTAAAAGAGGTGGGAGGAAGTTCTCTTACCACCAACAACAGCTGCTCTGGCCAGGCTGGAGCAGCCCCTTGCCTGCGGTGGGGGGGGCGCCGCCCCGTTAACCATCCATTAAGGATGAGACATACTGGTTAACCATTCACATCCCTACTCCTGGGTAAAGATGGTGGGATCGCAGCCATCTTGTCTCCCCACTGCAACTTAGTTCTGGCCCATGTACAGTGGTGATGCGTCTGGAAGGCGAGTCTATGAGCGAACATATCAACATCACCAGAGGAGGTCTTCTTGAGAAGTACCGAGCCTTGCAGTTTCACTTCCATTGGGGGAACCTCAAGGGGAACGGCTCAGAGCACACCATTGATGGACACCAGTTCCCCATGGAGGTAAGTGTGGTTGTGCCTCATGGGAGTTGTAGTTCATAGTCGCAGTCAGGTTCATAGCAATATATTGCTGAAACCTCCATTTGTTACTGACAAAAATAATGACTAAGGCTGTGCACACGAGCCACACAAGACCTCATCTATATCTATATCTATATCTATATCTATATCTATATCTATATCTATATCTATATCTATATCTATATCTATATCTATATCTATATCTATATCTATATCTATATCTATATCTATATCTATATCTATATCTATATCTATATCTATATCTATATCTATATCTATATCTATATCTATATCTATATCTATATCTATATCTATATCCACATATGGATTCCACAAACCCAAGTGAACTCACATATATCTGGATAGTTTGTACTAGAGTTTGGTAGAACTGGTTGGAAAATATCTTCCCCTTTCCCCATGGAACATTTAAATGGAAAATATTTCAAGGAAAGTTACTTTGGGCAATTTCAAGATGCTGGTGAATGATCATAAACCAACTATTTATTTTCTGAAATGCCACAGCAGTATCTCATGGGAGTTGTAGTTCAGGTGTGTCATGCAACCATTCACTTTTATAGGGCGGGTTCCCTTGTCAGACAACACTTTCTGTGATGCACAGTCTCTCATGCTAGTGACGGAAGGCCATGCACCAAGCTATGGCACATCTTGGGAGATTTGGGTGAGGAGCCCAGCCTGTAGAGGAGAATCATCTCATAAGGTACCTGAATGACAACTCCCATGAGGGGAAGCTGCTTCATGCATTAGCATGAATGGTGCATGCGATCCTGCAGCTAGAGAGACCATTTGGGTATATGTACAGACTATATTAGATGGGGTTCATTTAAAAAAATGCTGATGTTTTCATTAAGGCAAGTTTTTTCTTTCTTCTCCTCCATCCCCCTCAGTACAAGGTGTCTGTCCTGTTCAGAGCCATCTGCTGATAAATATCCCACCCATCAAACGGTCTGACTTGGTGAACTCTGCCCAGGATATTGGTGTGCGGCCGTTTAGACCAAGCTGCCTTACCAGCAGGGATTAAAGATACTTACAGTCACCAAAAGGGCAGATTCAGAGCCCAGCAAAGTCTCTCCAGCTCTTCATATGCTGATAATGCTGCATGCATGTATCCATGACAAACAGGATACTGTTTACTGTGCTTTGTAGACAGACCTCTGAAACAGGGGGTCCTGTCTGCTGCACACTGATGATTCATTAGCATCTCTTAAGAATAAAGGTTGCCTTTGTACCATTGGTTGCAATCTCCAGTATTGTACAGCATTGATGCTGTGTGCTCCATCTACCCCAGAAGAATCTCTTGTTCAATGCTCTGTGTGTGTTCGTGTGCAAGCGTGTTTATATAATAACATATGGAATCTATACAGTTTGGGTGGCTGTATGTATTCTGTCAAGTGCTTTGATAACTGTACATTGTAGCTCACAGACAGCAAGGAGCATAAGATGCTGCTTGTGTGTGGCGGCGGCAGAGCAGCAGAGTTGGAGGAGATGAGGCTGGCATACTTAGCTGAGATTGCTCACTCACTTCTGTTCCCCACCACCCTGTTCTAGGGCGAAAGCTCTGTTGGGCGTGCTGGGTTTCCAAAGCTTCAGGTCTGGGTGTCCCTGGCAGTGCCCAGTTGATGAGCATGTGATGTCCTGGGGCAGAGATTTGTGGCTAGGGTTTGGGCCAGGAGGCCAGTGCACAGAGTTGACCCTGGTCTGAATGGAAGAGTGAAACGTAGTTTCTCCAGTGAATGGAAGCTGACTTGAAATGAGCCCGTATCCTTGGTCTTTTGCACCGAGGGCCTGTGCAGCCTCCTTGTGTCATATTAGCATTTGCCTTGGTGGCAGCTAATTAACCCTACAGCTGCCTTCTGGGAGTGTGGATCCAGCCTCCCATACCTTGCCCAGGGGCCCAGCAAGTCTGTCAGCCCCGGCAGTGAGAGCAGGTAGCCAGGAAATACCTGAGCGCAATTGCGCCAGTACCCTCCTTTTCGCTGATGGTGTGAAATCTTAATGCAGTCTTAAAACACCGCGGGCCTGTTTCTGCTTTGCGCCGAGGGCTTTTTTATGGCACTATGAGCTTGCAAAGAGCCTCGGAGTGAGCAGGACTAATTGATACTGATGCTAAGGCCCCAGAGGGGCATGAAGGGCCCCTAGTGTCAGGGATGTAGCTGCTCACTGTTAAGGAGCTGCTTGTGCTCTTTGCTATTAAGGGCGCTGGAAGTGGAGAGCTGAGTGTCAATTTGCTGTGACTGATGGGTAAAATCGCACAATAGCCCAGAACACGTCTCACCCTCTTTCTGTGTCTCCTCTTCTTTAGCTGCACCTTGTTCACATGAACACCAAGTACAAGACTTTCAGGGAGGCCAAAGGGCATCCGAATGGGTTGGCTGTCCTCGGCTTCTTGTTCAAGGTAAGTCCACAACACTTTGCCCCTGGCTTGCAGGACTCCTTCACGTTCCCCTGAGGAGATGGCAGAGAGTAGTCTGCATTGTAGGCCCTTCAATAAACAAAAATCCCTTTGCCGGAGATCGCACTCTGTGCTGTATTGAGCTCTGGGCCACCACTGCCACACTCTGTGCCAATGGCATCAGCCTACAGGGAGCACCTCTGTGTCAGGATGGGGCAGCAGGTAGGTGCAGCATTGCCTCTAAAGACCTTTCATCCAGTGCCAGGGCTGCCAAGTCCACCCCTTTGTCTTCATTGCCGATGGAGACTAGGGATATTAGCTCTCGGGTAACGGAATAGTTGCATAACAGCATGAATTCTTAGTGGCTAGTCGACTATTCTATGGTCGCCGGTGGAGCTGGCAGCCAGGATACTCCGGCCCCACTCCTGGGAACCCTCTGATTAAAGACCTTTCATCCAGTGCCAGGGCTGCCAAGTCCACCCCTTTGTCTTCATTGCCGATGGAGACTAGGGATATTAGCTCTCGGGTAACGGAATAGTTGCATAACAGCATGAATTCTTAGTGGCTAGTCGACTATTCTATGGTCGCCGGTGGAGCTGGCAGCCAGGATACTCCGGCCCCACTCCTGGGAACCCTCTGATCCTTGCTGTTGTCGGGCTGCCAGGGGGAAACCTGTCCATAAGGGGAGCCGGTTTAAAAACCAGCTCCCCTCATGGACCAACTACCTGCCACATAGCGCTGCTGCCTCTGATACAGAGGCAGCAATGTGGGGTGGCAGCAGCCCCTGTCAGCAAGGGGTACGGGTTCCCAATGGACAGCGGCTGCTGTGGTGGGAGGGGAAGTTTCTGTGGCAGCTGGGGTGCACCATGGGCAGAGGCTGGTCCTCAGGAGAGGGGTGCAGAACAGCCTCTGTCTGCTGCAAGCCTGGGCCCCCCGATGGCAGAAGCTGCTTTGCCGCAGCCTCCTCCTTCTCCCACACTGCTCCCTCAAGGGGAGGGGGCAGGTATCATCACAGAGCTGCTCTCCCCACTATAGGCTCCTGCTTCTCCCCCCTCCTCCCTTGCTGCCGTATCAGAGGCAGTAAGGGGTGGGGGAAATGCGAGTAGTCGACTAGATTAACCAATACGTCTAGGCTTATCGGTTAATCATCTAATTGACTAATCATTGACTTCCCTGGTGGAGTGGTGACAGTCCTGCAGCAGAGCTGTGGTGTCCTGGGGTCAGAGTGCCATAACTCAGGTATGCTGCCAATTCCAGGTCACAAAGCTATGTGCCTGCAAGACCCAAGAAGCATGTGTGTAGCTCACTTCAAAGTCACTGTGTTCACTCTATCTTTGTGGCAAGAATTGGTTTAATCTCCGATTTGAGATTTTAATTCACTACGTAACTGCTGCACCTCTATGCTTGCTGCTTCTAGTGGAATGCAGCAAGGAAATGTTTGAAATCTAGCCCAACAGAAAAATAATGGATAAACACAAACCCTCTGAACGCAATAGAAATCACCACTGGGCTGAACTGCAGGTAAGCTGAATGTGGCACCTTCAGGCAGTCAACAGGGTTCCCTGCTTTTATAAAAGCAAATGAACAAATGTGTATTTTACCATGGCTGAATTCATGGAAGCTGCCTAGAATGCAGCAAAGTTCTCGTTTCGTGTAAAAGCTGTTCTGTCCTGAGAGTTGCCCTGTGGCTCTCAGGTCACTTGTCATGTGGCAAGTCACAAATTTTCATTTTGGAAAACATTCACCTTCTGACTCATTGCAACTCCTAAGAACCACCCACGCTTTTTGCTGCAGTGTGATCTGTCCAAGAGTGAAAAATGGGCTTGAATACATAGAGAGGGATCAGATTAGATCACAGTATGAGAGGGACTGTATGGATTATTTCCTTCAAGAATGTGAAGAGGACATACTTAGCCTTTTCTGCCTCAGCCCCAATAAGTCTCGAGAGGTAGCTGGGTTAGTCTGTAACTTTAAAACAATGAGTAGTCCTGTGGTACCTTAGGGTGTGTCTAGACTGCATCTCTCTGCTAACAGAGAGATGCAGATTAGGCACATCGAAATTGCTAATGAAGTGGGGATTTAAATATCCCATGCTTCATTAGCATAAAAATGGCCACCGCTTTTTTTCGGCACGGAGTTTTGTTGGAGAAAAGCGGCAGCCTGGAGGCTGATCTTTCGAAAAACAAAGTTTTTTTCGAAAGATCCTGTAAATCTTATTTCACAAGGGATAAGGGATGTTTCGAAAAAGGCTTTATTTTTCGAAAGATCAGCCTCTAGACTGCTGCTTTTATCCGACAAGGCTCCCTGCTGAAAAAAAGTGGCGGCCATTTTTACGCTGATGAAGTGTGGGATATTTAAATCCCCATTTCATTAGCAATTTTGGTACATCTAATTTTCATCCCTTTTCTGAAAAAGGGAAGTAGTCTAGATGTACCCTTAGAGACTAACAAAATATATAGTATCATGAGCTTTTGTGGGCACAGCCCGCTTCTTCAGATGAGGCTCAGTAAAGCACTCAAAGTTTAGAGGAGCATTGCAAATTTTGGTCCATAATTATCCAAGTTATGTTTTTCAGCCACACCCTTGTAGTCTAACGTCCTTGTGATTTATGATTAAGGGGAAGCAAAAATGCAAGAGCAAAACTGAAATTTCCCAGAAAGAGCTCAGCATGGATGTCTTCTGCAGCTGAATGGAGCCCCAGAAATGTCTAGAAATGTGCAGGTGCAGGGCACAGAAGACAAAAACCTTCTACCTTGCCACATGTGCTGAAACTGAGATCACCCGCCAGTGACATTGCTCTCTCTGCCAAACAATTTTGTAACTCTGAAATGATACTATTGAAAGACTAAAAATAGAAGTTAAGTCACTGGGTGGTGGTAGCTTAGCTGGGAGTTCATAGGCTTGTGAGACCATTGTTGGAGGTGGGGCTGTGCTTTCTTCACCTGTTCACCTGGATATGAACTGTGCAAAGCCAGGATTGTTGGCATCGAGGTCACATTGTTAACAGCTCTCCAAAGTATAGATGAATAGTGAGGGCTTTAATCTGAGTTGTTTCAATCAGTTACATGATATCCCCCTCCCAACAATGGTGTTAGTAGCTGGGGTGCCAAACACCTGCAAACACTACTTAAAATAGCTGTCCTGACTGTCCATTATGCTGCTTATGAAAGACAGTCACACGCAATGGCTTAAGGGTTCTGGGAAACTTCAACTTCAAAACACTGACGTGGCAGCAGAGCTATTTGGGTTTTATAGTAGTACAATGCCATTTCTTTGGAGGTAGGAGTGTCTGTGGGAGACACAAGGGAAGGATAACAAGTATTCATGTACAGTGACTGCATTTAGAAAGCTGTCTCTGTTCTCTCCAAAGGGAGAAGATAACGCATGGGAAAAACTCTTTTTAAAATAATCATAAACCTTCTCAAAGTGCTTTGGATCAATAGCGATAAAAGGGGATGATTATTCCTAGTTTATAGGCAGAGAAACTGAAGCATTGAGCAGCAATGTAGTTTGCCCATCTAGTGAATCAGAGGTAACAAAATAGAAAGAGTCCTCATCCATTGACCTGCAGGCCTGTGCTATAACTAGGAGGCCTTTCAGTCTTCTTGGCTGCCTTCCGAGCCCTCAGCATTTGGCTGTACAGTGGGTGCATAGGAAGAGAAGTGTTTTACTCCCCTGCTGCTCCCCTTGTGCCTCTCTGCTGGTATCTGTGACCCCCTCGAGTACCGGTGAGCTGAAAATCAGCTTCACATCTCACCAAGATATTTATGCTTAATCCACCAGTTATCCAAGCAGTATGACAGGATGGGAGCATCATGTCTATTGAAGAGAGATGGGGAAGGAGTCATTCTACCTAGGCATCTATTCATAAGACAAAATCAGTGACCTCGCCTACCCCAAAGAGGAGTTTATGACCTAGCAACCTGCAATTGGTTTTGTCTTGTGATCAGAATTGGAATCCTTATCCTATCCTAGCCTAGCCTTCCTCTAATTTTGTCTGCAATCGCTGGTGGTGGGATTGTTCTCCCATTCAGTGACAGCCGAATGGAGCCCGCAAATGTCTAGAAAGGTACAGGTATACCAGGGTACAGAAGACAAAAATCCTTCTACGTTGAAGGGGAGCTGTCACTCAAGCAAACCACATCTTGGAGATTTAAAAATACCCTTCACATTCTGCTATTGGTAGGACAGTTTTGACTGGCAGCCTGACGCATTGTGTAAGAACTGATGCTGACACCCCAGCTTTCTAGGGTGCTGCTTCCCCTTGCAGATCAGCAGCTCAGTGTAGGCTTAGGAAGCAGAAGTGAAATCTACAACAAGGCGTGTAAAGAATGTTTTAAAGCCTGCTAATAAGGGAAATGTCATTAAAGATCCTACAGCATATTTCATAAGAGGTGGGGAGTTAACCCCCACTGCCTTGGCCTAATTCCCATCCCCGATTGACATTAACATCTGTAGAACAGATTATTCCCTGCTGGGTAGAGTTGTTGTGTGTTGTGGAGCTATGGCTGTGTACGCCTCACAGGTGGCTGTGTGTTCAGTGCCAGCCTGTTGTATAGGTCATATGTTTGTTTGTAAGCACTTTGAATCCTTTGAGATTAGCAGGTGCTCTAAAAATAGAAATCACCCTCATTGTCGAAAGTGGAAAAGCACAGCACAGGCATGGATGTCCAGACATCCACTGCTCTCCATGAGAGCTGCAAACCCTCTTTATTTCTATGGTGCCCAGTTTTTGTCTAGAATGATTTAGAAGCATCTTGTAAATAGAATCCTTGAGATCTGCCCTTGGCTGGTTGTTCATTCTCCCCCTGTAATGCTTGCAGGTGTCTCATGCTGATAACTCCAATTACAACACCATTGTAGCTGGCCTGAAGAACATTTCCCATCCAGGTGAGTCCTCCGCTCCTCTCCCCTCTCCCCTCCAAGGCAGGCAGAATAGAGAATGAGAGGAACCCAGAAGCAGGAAGGAAGGAGCTGTGCAGGGGCACCAGTCATTGGTTTCAAGGCCCTTTGTCTCATTTCCATGCTACAGAATAACAGGGTAGTTCCCAGTGGGCTAACACAATGTGGACGCAAACATGTTACTGCCATCAATCTACAAGGCCTGCCCATTGTCACTCGAATGCAAGGATGCACTGCTGTGCCCAAATCCTTTTGAGAATTAGTGGTGCTGGTGTAACCACCACCGAGGCGGATTTGAACGTGGGACCTCGGGAGCTGACTATAGGAGCCTCTACCCTCTGAGCTAAAAGCCAGCTTGCTCCCAGCCCATGCTGTAGAGGTCTCTTGATCTTAACTGTTGCAGTGGTCTAGGCGCCACTTGTATTACTTAGTAACCACACTAGGTGTGTGGGTTACATATTTCCCCTAGGTGAGGAAGCGTGTCCCGAGCTTCCGAGACCCAGTTGAGATCCTGGACGAGCCCCCACCACTTGTAGTTGCCACCAGGCAGGTTTGAACCTGGGACCTCACTATAGGGGCCCATGTATGGTGTGGAAAGTCTGTACCCCAGGGGCTGTGTGAACCTGCTGCTGCCATACTGGGTTCTCATTCTAAACTAGGGGAGGAGCAAAACAAGTCCACCATGCCTGACACCCTCCTGCCATGAGCTCCTATGGTGACCTGTTTGGCTGATTTGCCAATCAGAGCCAAGACCTGACAGTCTAAGGGCGGCCGGGGTGGCAAAGGGTGCAAGGTGTGAGGTGGGGTTGATTGTGGCCCTTGGCTGCTTCAGAAATGTAGCTCTCCTAAACTGTTCATTCCCCTGGATGGTTTTGATAATGTTGGCTGTTCACTCTCTTCTTCTCTTAAAGGGGATTTTGTGGACTTAGCATCCACATTTTGCTTGAACAACCTTCTTCCCAGCGTGGCCCATCTGTCCAAATACTACCGCTATCAGGGCTCCCTGACCACGCCTGACTGCGCGGAGGCTGTCGTCTGGACGGTCTTTGAGGAGCCCATCGCTATCAGCCAGTCTCAGGTACCGCTGCCGCACAGTGCTACTCTAACTGCTTCTCCCAGACAGCAGCTCGGGGAGCAGATCTGCTCAGGTTCATCTGTGCCCACTGAAATGCTGCACATGCCGGACTAGCTGACACCCAGGCCTGCCAACTGTGGGGGCAAGGGGAGCAGTTGCCCCAGGGGCTGGAAATTCAAAAGGACCCAGGGCTCCTGGACTCTGCTACTGTGGCAAAGGTGGTGAGTGGAGCCCTGGGCCCTTTGAATCTCCGCTGGAGTGCAGTGCACCCCATGTGGCTCTAAAGGCTGGGAGTGGCATGTTGTGTTCCAGGTGGTGTGGAGAGCTGACTGCTCCCAGCTCCATCCCTGCTGCTTGATGCTCCACCCCTTCTGGGTATCATGGTATCCCTGATGACGCCCTCTCCAGATGGGCACAAATAGCAATTTCAAGTACATGTGCTCCGAAGAGGAACAATTCTACATCCAAACAACATGTACATTGCAGTTCTGATATGGGGTATCTCCTCCTGGGGACAATAGTCTGCACTGTTCCATGTGTCAGATCTGGGCAAACAGTGGGGAGTCCATCTGCCTGAGGTGGGACTGTCTGCAAACGAGAGGCTGGAGATGCCCAAGCTGCTGTTAGTAGAGCCATGGTGTTTGTTCATCAGTGGGGACTGGGCAGTTGCCAGAGTGCCAAGCGGACTGTGTGTGTGGTGTCCACAGAAAAAAGCAGTCTGTTCCGCTCACGCTTCTACCCTTGCCCTGCCTCTTCCTGCAGCTGCTCCGCCCCATTGCACTCATTCCCTGAAGCCCCTTCCCCTGAGAAATGTGGCTCAAGGATGTCTGGGTTGACCTCGTGCACTCACCATGCTAGCAGGAGCATTGGGAAGTGGAGCAACCCAGCAGCCTGCTCCGCTCTGCTGCCATCTCCCAGCTGGGCTGCTCTGCTTCACCGCAGAAGTGGAGTGCACTGGCCTCAGCCTGCTCCCCAGGCTAAGTCTAAAATACATCCCTCTGTTGGCAGAGGGATGTAAATTAGATGTATCGAAAGTGCAAAATGAAGCCGGGATTTAAATATCCTGCACTTCATTTGCATAATGGCAGCTGCTTGCTCCTCTTTTCTAAACAGGCCGCTGCCTTTTTAAAAAAACCCCCGGCAGTTTAGACAGGGTCTTTTCAACAGAAACGCCCCATTTTAAAAGATCCTGGAGCACAGGATCTGTCAAAAAGGCCCCGTCTAAATTGCTGTTCTTTTCCCCTAAAAGCCCCATTTCGAAAACAAGCAGCAGCCACCATTATGCAAATGAAGTGCGGGATATTTAAATCCCGGCTTCATTTGCACTTTCGATACGTCTAATTTACATCCCTCTGCCAACAGAGGGGTGTAGTTTTAGACACTCAGCCAGAGTCCTGCATTGTTCAGGGGAGTGAAGCGGGTTGTGTGTGTGTGTGTGGGGGGGGAGCGGGGCAGGGCACTCTGTTTCCCACTGCCATGATAAAGCAGAGCAGGGTGCTGGGTTGCTCCACTTCCCACAGCTCCTGCAGGAGGCCTTGATGAGTGCCTGATCTCTGCTTCCAGCTCAAGCTTCCCCCCTAGGTAATTCCACAGCCTGCCCTGGCCCACGTAGCTAACATCAAAATGGGGGATCGTCCCATCCATAGGTGGCTGCTGCAGGGCCCCCCAAAGTGTGGGACCTGGGGTAGCTGCCCCAAGTAGTCTATCCCTTTGGACAGGATGGCTCTGTTTCTACCTCTGGATGTCCCATGTCGTTTCCACTAGAGCTGTTTTATGTGCATGTTCCTTCTCCTTGATGGGGTGACTGCTACATCATGTGACTTAAGTTACCACTTTTCTTCTTATTTCTTTAGACTGAAACAATAATAAATCACTTGCATAGGAAGCTCTAAGGGCCCTGACAACTAACTAGTTTTCTAGCAGCTTAATCAATCATGACCACTTGGCAACATTAAAAAAATCATAGACTGATATTGCGCACAGCCTGCCAGCAGTAGCCTGCAATAGGAACAAATTAACTAAGCCAAACAGCAAATCAAAGCAACAGAAAATCTGCTCTCCATCCCCAGACTCTCTCCAGAGACATCCTTGCAACCTCCCCTTCTCACCAAGCCCTGCTGATGAATTTGGGGATCTGGTCACCGGCAGTTCTCAAATGTGAGCTGTTAGGTTGTTCAGAACAAATAGTTCAGTCAGCTGTGCTCTGTGTGCACTGGCATGTCTCTTATACAGTCCTTGGGCAAAGGTTGTATGGGCAGCTGTATCCTAACTTTGCATGCTACTTCCTTTTCCTGCTTCTAAGGGTAAGTCTAAACTGCAGAGTTTTTCCGGGGATATCTCCACGTCCAAGGAATGCGTCCGCTTTTCTGAAAAAAATGTTGGAAAAGTGGACGCATTTTGTCGGCATCCCAGTAAACCTTGTTTTACAAGGAAGAACAGTTGTTCTGAAAGAGGTTTTTTTTTCTCGAAATTTGGCCCCGTGTAGAAGTGCCAAATTTTGGAAAAGCCTCTTTCAAAAGTAAATCAGAAAAAGATACACAATTTGCATATTGCAAATTGCGTTTCTTTTTCTGATTTATCTTTGTATTCTAGACATAGTCTAAGAGGAACAGACTGATGGATGGAAAGTCTTTCCCAGGACCCAGCTTCCCACTAGCAGCCTTGCGCATTCCAAAGCCATCCATTAGGCCTAAAAATTAAGAGACTGGCTTAAAATTCATGAGACTTTTTTTTAATAATAATCTTGGGTTCATTGTAATGGTCTCCTGGTTTCTAAGCTGCTGGGTTCTCTCGAGTCCTGTCTTCAAGGGTTTCTCCGTAGCTGTGAGGATGAGATTTAAACTTTTTTTTAAAACTGTAAGTGGAGTTTCTCCTGGGATCCTTTGACTCCAGGAGGTGAGTTTTTAAGAAAATACCTGCATCAAGAGTCTTGTCCAAGAGCGAGCAACCCTGAGTTATAGGGAAATACTCGGGTGGATTGCTATGTCTGTTCGGGCACCAGGTTAGCAAAGCCAATGAGCATGTGCTTAACCTGAATCTTAGAATATTAGAACTGGAAGGGATCTTGAGAAATCAGCAGATACAATCCCCTGCTCTCATGGCAGGAGCAAGCACTATCTGGATCATCCCTGACAGATGTTTGTTTAACCTGCTCTTAAATATCCCCAGGAATGGAGATGCCACAATCTTCCTAGGCAATTTATTCCAGTATTTAACCACCCTGACAATTAGGAAGTTTTTCCTCATGTCCAACCTAAATCTCTTTCTAAATTTAAGCCCAATACTTCTTGTCTTATCCTCAGAGGTTAAGGAGAATACTTTTTCTTCCCTCCTTGTAACACCCTTTTAGATATTTAAAAGCTGACATTATGGTCCCTCTTAGCCTTTCTTTTCTCAACTAAACAAACCCAATTCATTCAAGCTTCCCTCAGAGGTAATTTTTTCTGGACCTTTAATAATTTTCATGGCTTTTCTCTGGATATTTTCCAATTTGTCCACAACTTTTCTGAAATGTGGCACCCAGAACTGGGACACAGTATTCCAGTTAAGGCTTAATCAGTACAGAGTAGAGCAGAGGAATGACTTCTTGGGTCTTCTTTACAATACTCCTGATAATACATCCCAGAATAATGCTTTTTTTTTCAACAGTGTCATATTGTTGACTCATATTTAACTGAAATATGTGTTTCAGTCCATCCCCATTCAAGAAAGTACTTAAATGTGTATTGAAACATAAACATGTGCTTAAAATCTTTGTTGTATCAGTTGCTTGAAAAGTATTTCGACTGAGCATAATTAAATGGCTTGAAATCTCTCTCTGTCTCCCACATTTGCAGCTGAATGCATTTGTCAACACACTTCACTTCCGGACCAATGGCACATCTCCAGTGAAAATGACCGACAACTTTCGACCACCACAGCCCCTCAAGAACCGAAAAGTCTATGCATCCAAAGATGCCACGATCAGCCATAGTACCATGCCCAGTGCCAGCCTCCCACTTCTTTCTCTGCTCTTGGCTCTCCTGGTTGTCTACTTCTTAGGCCCCTCTTAAAAGCCCTTCCCTTGTCTCCCTCCTTTTTTTGTCATGAATGATTTGTGATTATTTTATGATGTCTTCGTATCAGGGTTTCCATGCTGCTATCATTTTCTTGCCACAGGACTGAAAATGACAAATGAAATTAAAGCAGATTGGCAGGGGGTACATAAGAACGGCCACACGGGTCAGATCAATGGTCCATCTAATCCAGAACCCTGTCTGCCTCAGAGGGAATGAAGAGATCATACAAGTTCCATCCCCTATTGTCGAGTCCCAGGATCTGCTAATCAGAGGCTTGTAGGCACATAGAGTAGATGGTTGTATCCCTCACCATCTTGGCTTATAACCTTTGACAGACCTCCATGAATGTCTCTAATTTGGTTTTGAGCCCACACAACATTCCCCAGCAAAGAGTTTCACAGGCTGACAGTGCACTGTGTGAATAAGTTCTTCCCAATGTTTCTTTTAAACTTGCTGCCTAATTTTATTGGGTGACCCCTGCTTCTTGTATTATGTGAAGGGGTAAATAACACTTCCTTCTTTACTTTCTCCACATTGTTCCTTTATTTACTCCATGATCTTTCTTGAGTGGTAACAGCTAATTTAGACCCCATCATTCTATATGTATGGTTGTGATTGGCTATGTCTACACTCGCGGCTTCTTGCACGAGTAATATGCAAATGAGGCTAAGCTTGAAATATCGCAGAGCCTCATTTGCATACCTAATGAGCCACCATTTTTTTCGGAAGATGCTCTTGCACAAGAAGGAGCATCTATACTGCCCCTTCTTGTGCAAGAAAAATCCTCTTGCGCAATGCTGATCTTCCTGAAAAGTAATAGGTGGAACGGCATTGCGCAAGAGGGTTTTTCTTGCGCAAGAAGGGCAGTGTAGACGCTCCTTCCTGCACAAGAGCCTCTTCTGAAAAAAATGGTGGCTCATTAGGTATGCAAATGAGGCTCGGCAATATTCCAGGCTTAGCCTCATTTGCATATTACTCGCAGAAGAAGCCGCGAGTGTAGACATAGCCATTATGTTTCCTTTGCTTGTGTCAACATTGAAGTTCATCTGCCAGTTTGTTGTCTAGTCACTCCGTGTTGTGAGATCTCTTTGTAACTCACCACAATCTGCATTGGGCCAGGAACAGCCCAAGGCAGGCTGCAGCAGCTGGCACCCCAGGCGGAATGCACGATTGGTGTCCCTGCCTACATGGCCATCAATGGAGTGACGTCATCATCAGGCGCCCCGTGATGTCATCATTGGACGGCCCGGATGCCCCGTTGAAGGCGGTGCCCTAGGCGACATCTGAGTCGGCCTATAGTCATGGGCTGCCCCTGTATCGGGCTTAACTATTTTGCATATTTTTGTATTGTCTGCAGACTTTGCCACATCACGGTTTACCTCTTTTTTCAGATCATTTATGAATATATTGACCAGCACAGGTCCCAGCACAGACTTTTGGGAGGACTCTGCTATTTACCTTTCTTCACTGTGAAAACTGTTTATTCCTACCCTATGTTTCCTAACTTTAAATCAATTATTGGGAGGACTTTGCCTTATTTCCCATGACTGCCTACTTTGCTCAAGAGCCAACACTGAGAGACCAAAGGAAAGAGAAATGTTCATGGTTGGTTTAAATAATAATAATTGAAGACCTTGATTCTGCAAAGACTTATCTTTAAATACAAGAATTCTCACTGAACTTTCATTCTTCAACTGCTTATTGTTAAACACTGGTGTTGCAGAACTGGAATGTCACATCCAGTCCTGTCATATTTACAAATGCAACCCCTTTGGTTTTGCCATTTGCACTTCATGTGGAATTCCTGATGTGATACATACAGTGCTTTCTTTTAAATGAGAAGAAATGTTTAAATGATATCAAAATGAATTGTAATAAATTGAAAATTCTTACATCTCAGGTCAGAATCACCTGGATATTTGCTTCTATGTGATACCTAGTGTTTATAAGTAGCATCCTGATGAGGGGCAAATAGAAGAGGGGTTACTCCATTTAGAAAGTCAGTGTTCGAGGTCCTACAGAGATGTTTCCACTGGGAGGTGAAATTGAAGAAATGAGTCAGGTTTATTCTTGGGTGTGATTTGTAAAATGACAGAAATGTGGCTTCAAAGTCCTGTTTCCCTGAACACAGTAGAAACAAACAGCTGCAGAAATCCTTGCTTAGAAAACTTTAAATGTACCCCCACAGTGACCTCTGTACTCAAGAAACCCTGTCTCTGCCCAGAATTGCTTCTTCAGGCTTCCTGGTCACTTTGGCTAAGTCTAGATTGCATCCCTTTTTCGTAAAAGGGATGCAAATTAGATGTATCGCAATTCCTAATGAAGTGGGGATTTAAATCTCCCCTGCTTCATTAGCATAAAAATGGCTGCCGCTTTTTTTCGGCATGGAGTTTTGCCGGAAAAAAGCGCCAGTCTAGACACGGATCTTTTGGCAAATAAAGCCTTTTCCGAAAGATCCCTTATCCCTCTTAAAATAAGGGATAAGGGATCTTTCGTAAAAGGCTTTATTTTCCGCAAGATCCGCGTCTAGACTGGCACTTTTTTCCAGCAATGCTCCGGAGATTTAAATCCCCGCTTCATTAGCAATTGCGATACGTCTAATTTGCATCCCTTTTACGAAAAAGGGATGCAATCTAGACGTAGCCATACTGTCTCCACTGTACACATGCAGCAAACCCAATGTTCTGTTCTCTATGTTTGCAACCAGGGGAACTGCTCAACCCTCACAGTTGAGCTGTGACCTGCCATGTGCCTTACCTGGTTTGTTACTTGTCACTGTCTCTTCAACATAAACAGGATTAATTGCCCTCTCCTTTGAGTCTGTATGGGTACATCTACACAGTAGCACAATTTCGGGATACTTCCAGTATCCTGAAATAGCTATTCTGCGTCTTGACAGCACACTCATTATTTTGAAATAGCTTTCAAAAGAATGGGGATGCTATTCTGACATCCCTGTACACTTTGTTCCTTGAGGATTAGGAGACATTTTGGAATAGTGTTCTATCTCAAAATTTGGCACTGTGTAGACAGCACCAAATTTTGAAATAAGCGATTTCAAAATTAACTGAAAATAAGTTACGCAAATAAGCACCCTACAAATACTTGATACATCTGTTAACTTTAAGTGAGTCTGTAATTGTCTTTGGATCTAAAAGTGCTTCATCCCCACTGGAAGATTTTTACCAACTTTTTTTTCTGGTTTTTTGTTTTTTACATTTTTTTCCCCTATGAAAATTCAGTTTCCCTTCCGGGAATGCTCCGTGGCCTTATCTACACTGGGCCCATGGAATCTAGAGCACAAGAAAATTGTCATAGTCCAGCTTTCCATAAACAGGCCTGGATTTTTTAGCCTTCATTTCAAAGCATGGTACAGAGGATTGGATAGTAGCTGAGTATTCTTTTGAGAGAGGTATTTCATTATGACGTCAATGAAATGAAACTGCAAAACGGCTAAGTTCAGGTGTAGACTTATGAGTCAGGGAGAAAGCATGAGAGACACGATCAGTAGATGGTATATAACCACTGAATTGCTCCAGACAGATGTTCCCTGAATTGTAAGGACCAATTCCTCCTTTTATTTACACTAACTCTAGTCATTCCTCATTCACAGTGTCAGGGAAGAGGGAATTTGGCCTTCCATTAAGGCATTGCTTAGGAGCATAACACCAAATGTCCATAACAGTCTTCAACTTGTGTTTTATTTTCGTCAGGAGAAACTTCTCCACACAGTGAATCATCTGGTGCAGCAGGAGAATTCTAATAAGTTGGTCACCCACTCAAGGAACCTAATGCTAGGGTTAAAATTACTGAAATGCAAATGTATCTCCCATAAAGCTCTGAATGCAAGATCTGTTCGTCTGTTCCCTGCCACATTGCTGAGTATAGGGAATGGCATATGACAGGGTAGGGAAATAGAATAATCATCATTTATACGCTGAAACTTCAGACTTGACACTTCCTGAATTCTGGAAATAATAGCCCAGATCAACTTCAAAGAAAGGAAACTGTGGGGTGGGATGAAAGGGAGTGGGAAAGAAGGAATTAAAAACAGAATTTCGAATTTTTAAATTTCCTGTCCTACCTGGCACTATCTTGCTGAAACAACTTCATTCACCCTAGAGCTGGCTGAATTTTAATGGGGGAAGGATACCCCGAGTATTAGTCACATGTCAGATTTTCAAAAGTATTTGGGGGATCCTTTAGAATGACAGCTATTAAACATAAGTTTATTTGCATCCCTGGGTCTCTCTAGTAGCCCCTTTTCTGTGTTGTCCCCTGTAATGTAAATGTCAGAGGGATTTAGAGCAGGAGAAGTCGACTGAGATAAAAATCGCCTGACGTTCTGGGGGAGAACACAGAAGGCTGAGGTACTGGGCTCGTCTGCAGAGTGAACCTGATCCCAGGAGACTGAGTTTTTCCTTTTATTCTCAGTAATTACAGCTTTAAATATAGAACTGGAGAAAAATGAATGGAGTCTAAAGTTAGCTCTGGAAAAGACTAGCCAATTTTAGTGTAAGTAACTCAGCCCCCTGCACCCACACAGTCCTTACAATTGAGCCTTTTCCCTGGGGAAGGGTTTTCTCTTTCACCCCCTGCCCATTGCTGATTTTCACTGCTCAGAGAGCTCTGTTATTTACAGAGGAGCAGTAGCCAGCACAAAAAAGGCCTATTTTCAGAGAGATGGTACATAATTTGAATCTTAGTGCTCTAAGGAACCTGAGGGCCAGGGCTGGCACATGCAGCAAAGGTCAATTTCCTTTCCTTGTCAGGTTTGAGTTCCAAACCTGGCTCAGATCCCAGATGGAATGCGTTTAGAGGTCTCATCCCTAGCTTAGCGGGCACTTGTCTACTAACTGCAAAAGAATCCCAACTGTGGTGTGTGGGTTTGTTTACCAATGAATATACAATCAGCACAGGGAGACCCTCCATTGGATGGCGCTAGAGAAGTGCAAAATATTAACAATAAAAAAGTGTGACTTTCTAAGCTGAGTGAATAAAGCTGGGCTGCTCCATCTATATTAAGACATGGCAATAATTATTTGATTATCACTGGTGCTAAGCAACGGTTTTTCCATCTATGCGTGGAATAAATTTTGTTATGTGCACTGAGATGTGCAGATGTGCACCATGTGCAGAAACACATGCTACTGGCTGTGGGCATTCAGCTAATTGGTTAATCTCTCCTGGAAGGTCAGGCAAGCACTCGGCTTATACAGAAAGTGGTGCTGAGTTTCCCTAGCACGTGGGACTTCAGCAGCAGCTGCTGGGTCTTTCTGAAAATGAGGCTGCTGACTGAGGGGTTTACATATGGATTTATGCACCTAACTTTAGTTTTCCACCTTTCAAAATGTAGGCCACCATTTATACATTAGTTAAAATGAAAATAATTCAGAAGAAGGAGAAAGCTGTCTCTTCAGAGACTCCCCTCCCGAAAGTGGAGCTTTCGTAAAAGTAAATTTACGAAAATTTATTTATTTTGCCATTGCTGCTTAATCCTTGATCTAAGCCTAAAACAAGAGATGACAGGTGCAGACAGACAGATGAGAAGTATGTAGCAATGATGAGAGGTGATAGGCAGGGATCACTGATCATGTAAGAATATAAGAAAGGCCTTATTAGGTCAGATC